AACGCAATATAATATCATTGGAGTTTACAATCTACAATTTATTCGTCTTTGCCAGATTTAATTTAAATATCAACATATTTTAATTATAAATTGGATATTGGAATTTCATATACTATGAATATTAATAAAATACCGTAAAGGTCGACTTAAATATTGACATTGGCATTCGTTATTTTGTATAATTTATATAATTCATAATAATAATATATATAATATATAATAATATAATTCATCATTGTATAATAGAAAAATTTATTAATTTTTTTCTTCTAATAATTAAATTTTGAGCGTCGTTATGGTTACAAATTATTTTCATGTTTTTTTTTTTCTTTCTTTTTTTTAAGGAAAAGCTGTAGTAACATCTCGGGTAGCTTTATGTGATTACATTATAATCTTTTATGTTAAAAGTAAGTAATTGCATTTTCTCATAATAAGCGTTGACTGTCCGACGTTTCTTAACACTTTATTCTCTACCCTAAACACTCGCGAGCCGATAAAAATATGTTTGTCGTATTTGTCGTCGCAGTCCGATATGTCTGGGCCCCTATATAAGAAAAAAGAGTGGCATTATATGGCCACTCCATACTTTTTGCTTATAATTAATGCATAATATTCTTACGCACTTTGTATTTTGTAACGTTGTTTAGACAATTGTTAATAATATTACAATAATATTGATTACCATTATCGTGGAATAATTATTTATATTAGGTACACCCGGTTTTGCGTTTTTCATCTGATACATCGTCGCTATAAATTTTCTTTCTAGTGTACAATAATTTGGGACTTGTGACGGGGGTCGTTGGACGGGTGATGTGGTAGGTGGGACGTGGGATGTGGTTGGGGGGGGCATAAGTTGCAGAAGCGCTTGGCGTTACAATTACAATGAGTTAATTACTTTATTGTTTTCTTTTATGATCCTGCTTTTATTTTGGCACCGTCGAAAGCCAGAATTCGAAAGGAAAGCAAAATCCAAGGATTTAACGCTCATTTTTTTTTAATTACATACGCACTCATCAATTGAATATTGTAATACGAATTGATTAACAAATCATTCTAAAATGTTGAATTAAAAAAAAAAAGAAAAAAAAAAGCATTATTCTTTTAATATTTAAGCGTTTAATGTTAAATTTAAAGGAATTAATTATGAATTCTTTTAGTGATTTTATCAAATATGCAGAATAAGTTAAATCGTCGGATAGAAACGTCGTCGCAAAAAATGAATGTTTCACTTTAAAAATTAACGTTTTCGTTCCTTTGGTCTTTAATTAAATTTTTAATTTTCAATATTTATTTACATTCTAAATGGCAAGTGATTCAGCAAACTGAATAATTTCGCAATAAAGAAGTTATCTACGTACTGGTTTAATGTGTCAAAAAAAAAAAAAAAGAAAAAAATAAAGTTTATCATAATCGATTGAATGTACTGAAATTGAAATGAAAAGCAATGACTTTAATATTATTAAACACTTTAGAATTCGTTTTAATGAGAGGATGAGAGAAATGAGAAAAGTGCTGGTTAATGATAAATGATAAATTGGAGTGTCTTTAACTTAAGAATTAAACACGATTATTGCGCACCTTGGAAGACGAACAAAGGATCGTCGATCAATAATTTTCTTTTTCTTTCTCCTTTTACTCTCGAGATTACGTAAAAATGGGTCGGACATTGCTCTTTACGTTCGCATTTGTACAATTTCACCCCTTAATGATTCACAATAACAGTTTCAAATTTTTTATAAGTATTTTCTTTGCACGTCAATGATATAAATGTCTATATTTAGTAGGAGGCCAAAAAATTTTATAAAGACGAGGCTTGCGTGAGAAATATCTACGTCTTGTCTTCCGTTCATTTCTCTTCATTCTAGTAAACATTTTTATTATCATTATCATTTGTCATTCGAAGAGAAAACTAATTACGTATTTAGAGTTTGTGTTAAATCTTTTATCTCACTTCATTCCGTACATAAAGTTTCAACGCGGGAAAATTTTTTATTAATGAGAGATGAACGTTAAAGACGAGCTAAAGATTGAACATTGCGCGAGTACATAATTCCTCATGGCATTGTCAATCGACTGCGCGATTGTGTCTACCAGGTACATTGTAACAAGATTCATTATCATAATCTTAAATACCTCTTTGAACATTTTTTTCTTTCCTTTTCTTCGCCTTTCTCGTGTCTTATATGCGATTCAAGAATATTGTTAATAATACATATGTTCATAAATGCACAGAAATAAAAATGTTATGCAATTCTTTTAAGCTGCACGAATAATAATAACAATAATAATAATAATAATAATAATAATAATAATAATAATAATAATAATAATATCTAATAATATATAATAATAGAAAATAATAATAATGTTAAAGCAATTATATAATTATTAAGATAGTGAAAAATTAAATATTAAGTTAAATAGTGATATTACATGAATAATCCTTATTATATCCGAATTATAATATATTAGCGTTTTTTTGCATTTACAAAAGAACACGCTCGATATTAGTATTTCATTGGCAATAATTCCATGTTCATAAGCATATAAGAAGTCATGAAGTAACTTATGCTTTGAAAATAATATTTGTAAATTTATTCCTGCGTATTCATTTATACATACATAGTTATAACCTCTTGCGAGGTGGTACCGATGATTTAAAAACGGGCACGTTTGGTTCAAGTTTTGTCAATGGGAAACGAGGTGCTCTTTTAGCGTGACATTTAATGTGACAAAAACTTCAACAACGCAGTGCATATATTCGTTAGGCTCTTTAAAAATCGATTCGCTATAATGTACAGGTGCAAATTTAACGTATTTACTGTGATTATTGTAATTATGTACAGAGCATTGTGATATATTAACTATAAATATATTCAAGGGTGGGAATGCAACTTTCACCAAGTATTCCTCTGCTTATATGCACCGAAGGCAATTATGTAGCAATAACCATTGCAGCGTGTTGAAAAAAAAAAGAAAAAAACTTAATCTATACTTTGCATTTGTTTAAAATTACAATTTAGAAAAATCATCGTTCACATGTAAAGGGCTTATTTCAAACATAGGAACACATCGGAAATGTTAATATATATATATATATATATATATATATATATATCAAAATGTTGTATGTAAGATTTATTTCAATACTATACAATGGAAATTATTTTATAAAAATACGTAAATTTTTCAATTTATAATTATCAAGTGAATTAGCGAATGATCGGCTTAACAAAATGATATTCTATAAGAATCAGAATCAACAAGAGGAAAAGCAATTGATTTCAACGCGCGAAAACATTCCTTTTGCCAAATAGCTAAGCAAAAGACTCAATGAAAATGCATTTTGACACATTAAATACGAGCGTACGGTACATGTCTCAAAATTCTTAAGAAGTGAATATTTAACGCCAACATTGCTGGATTTCATAATCAACTATAAATTACATTAAATGGCAATTAAGCAAAAAAAAAAAAAAAAACCAGAAAACCAGCAACCGTAGTACTTGTCATGGTTCTATAGTATAAATATCGATATATACGAAACCGTCGTTCCCCATTGACGTGCTTTTTCATTAAGATATGACTATGGCGTTTTTAATTTATATTATCGACAATAATCCCTTGCGACGTTTGATTATTATACAAGTAAGTACGCAGCAAGAGAAGAAAAATTAGCCCCACTGATTCGAAGGGCAATGATCAAACAACCGATAAATATCTCTATTAAGCATTAACTAAGGATAATACATTTTAATGTAAACTAAAAGTTGTTATTTAGAGCAATTACCAAGCTATCGCTCGTATTTAAGCGAATTTATTTCAAAAGCTTTATCTCATTGTAAACGATAAAAGTAATTATTATGAATTAACATTGCTTCATTCGTCTTATGTTAAAGTCACATTTTCAGCAAAGCACGGCTCTACGATATTTCAATCATTTTAATGGAACATCTACCTTGCAATAAGTAGAATCTCGATATCTTGTCACGCGCGCGATAACACTATTTATATCAAATGGTACAAGAGACAAATAATAATATTTATGAAAGCTGAATTCATTGGCGAGAAAGCAAAAAACGAGAAGAAGAAGAAAAAAAAAAGAATAAATAAATAATAAGAAAACACCATGTCATAGCTTAATTTTTCTTCGTTTTATGTATATGTAAGAAAGAGCTTTGCCCCTATACGAAAATAACGATCGGCTGTGCATTGTCAGAAACTATAAGCTACAAAGTCGTTATTATACACGCTGTAATCTATTAAGTAATCTATATAGTCATTTTTAGTAGCAAAAATTTTTGTTAACATACACACAGCCAGATGGCAAATAATAATAGAGTACGATTCCAAATGAAATGCACAATACCACGATGCCCCACGACATTATGCACAAAGCTTGAACGATAATCAGGATGTTTGTAATTATTCACAACCTTGAAATATGAAATTGTTATACGCCAATAATGCGTTAATGGCCAATGGTATTATTATAGGCGTAATTATAGTCGAGAGAAGCTGCTGGCGCGAGCAGAGCTCGAGACACAGATAAGAAAAGAAGAAACATAAAGCGTCACTGCCCCACCTTCTTCTCCGACTCGGCCAAGATCACATTCGAAGGATGAAGGATGAAGAGAGACACTCGTGCACGTTTAGCGTGGGGCCAATCGACCAACTATACCTCCGCAGCCAAGAGTTCCCTCAAAATCTTGACTTTGCCAGCAATCCCTTTAGTTGCTGAACGAGCATGAAAACCCGTTGCCGGCAATTTGCAAAAACGTTTGCAAATTCTGTACCCTAATACATCATTGCGCCATTCCGCACTGGATGCCTCATCGATAAATGTATTTATTCCCCAGAGTGTCAATGAATTCGATGATATAGTGGTTGCTGCGATGTGAATGATGCGAGACCATACCTTCATGCCATCTATTTACCGCCACTCCTACTCCAATACATTAATCGTGTGTGCTAGTAGCGCGTATAGCCAGGCCAGAAATGTGTCTGTATGCGTTACGAGTATTCCCAAAACTGTCTGCTGGCTCCATTAGCTGCTGGCGACGATACTTGCGGCACATTTGGTCACGTCGATGCAAATATCCACAATGTATACGAATGTTGCGCTACATACTAGACTCTTTCGTGGTAAGGGATTCGCTCGTGTTGTCGACGCGTATGAGGGTCGATGAATTTAATACCATACTTCGGCTCAAGGACGCCACTCGCTCCATCACGCACGAGGCCGAGAGTCGCGCCTCGGCGTCGTGATCCCAGCATTCCTCCATCGTGTCGCAGATGGCCAGTAGTCCCTGGAAGCAATATTTTAATGTCCCTGTTAAAACGCTTATCCGCTGATTATCGTGATGGCTATAAACACAACTAAACAGTGAAATTGAAATTGCCGCTTCATTGGCGCGAAAATTCACGAGCTTTTAGCCTGCACCAACTGACATTATTGAGCTCTTGATTTTTATATAACTTTAACAGAGCGGATGACGGAGTTCGAGGGGCGAGGGGGTGGGGGGGGGGGGGGGGGGGGGGGGGGGGGGGGGGGGCGAGGCTCGAATTACTCGATAATTAAATCGTCATTCGTCGCTTTTATTAAACGACTCTATGCTTTTCGAATATTAAGAATAATTAAACCAATTCGTGGAATTGATCACTAAAGACGACGGGGTTATGGTATTATTATCGTATAAATCGTATAAATTGGATAAAATGACGTGATGTGTGTGTGTGTGTGTGTGTGTGTGTGTGTGTGTGTGTGTGGCGGGGGAGGGGGGGAGGAGAGATTTAGTATTATTAATAGTAGTAGTAGTAGTAGTAGTAGTAGTAGTAGTAGTAGTAGTATTTTCAATCGTGACTTTAAAACGCCGCAAATCAAGATGGTTATACGCCACCACCAGTCAGTCTTTATTTTTCAATTTTTAATCACCGTTATATTTATACTTATAAGACTATCAATCTTTCAGGAATTGATTCGAGGTCGTTATTATTTCGATAACGAGAGCTCGGTAAAAAAATTTTTGTCATCTTTATTGTCGACATTATGATTTTAATAAAATTTAGGGATCTGTTTATTAATAATCCCTGTCAATTGTTGAGAAAATATATCCGTAGCACTTAGAGTCTAATATTACAGAATGAGATTTTAATTAAATTATAATAGTCACTTGGAGGTGCCGAAAGGATCGGTATTTATTTCTATTTGTTAATTTTTTTTTTTTTTTTTTTTTTTTTTTTTTTTTACAATGTTGACATATTTCGATGTTTGAATTCACCGATAATTGCAAACTAAACAGGTACATCGCCTACCTTATTAAAAGCTTACATATTATATTAATATTGATAATAAAATAAATAAACGATGTCACCGTGTGTATTAACTCGTATTAAAATATTTAAAAATTCAATTTTTAATTTTAAGTCATAGATTAATTTATTCTCTCTCTCTCTCTCTCTCTCTCTCTCTTTAAACGATGATACAATTTATCGAATATATTTAGTAATTTGCAAAATATTTGAACATTACAAGTCCTATATTATTTTACATTTAAATAACGAATAAGCAAACAGCGTATTTGCTCCATTTCAGAATGAATAAGCTCCTACTACATTCAAATAAACTATGTGTAAAATGGAAAATAAAAACCTCCCAAAAAGTCTGAATCTTACCGGGTGTTTGCGCCAAGTGTCCAATATCAATGGCCTCTCCTTTTTGTGAACCACACTTTCTTGCATATCTTCGAGAGTAGGATGAAGTCCGACTTCTTCCTCAAAGGGTAGCCTGTATTCACCAATTGGCCCCTACGATTTATAAATGAACAATTGTGTTAGTGACACGCAGCGAAGCATATGAATTTATAAGTAACAATAAAATTATCTCAATAAAATTATTATTTGGACAATAAAAACTTATTTTTGTGCACATCTAAACGTTATCATCTTCATTTTGATAATGCTCGATGATGTACGAAAATTCTGAAAATATATTATTTATTATGCTTATCGACTGTTTTCTTTACTTCTTAATAACAATAATAATAATAATAATAATAATAATAATAATAATAATAACAATGATAATTATAATAAGAATTTAAAAAAAAAAAAAAGACAAGACTTTTCTTTTCGGAGAAAAGAATAATAGAGCAGTGACATGTGCGTGAGGTAATGAGGCGTTGAGCTTAGCATTTCAAAATTTTACTAAAAACATAAGACGTCAAAAATTTCAACTTCATCGCTTATTTTATCATGCATTATTTCGATATTTGATATATTTAATTAAGCTTATGTAAAAACAAAAATTAGCGCCAAAAATTACAAAGAGAAATACTGCATATTCCTATTACAGTTAAAGTAACCTTCTGTTAATTTCGTCGCACATCCCAATTAAAATTCTTTAAATTCAATCCCACCTCACACCAACTCACATTACACCCGTCCGTCCACCAAACCCATCCGCGAGCTAGTGCTAATGCAACTAATCCTGGATATGTGAATACAGTTGCATGCGAACTACAAGTACCCTCGACTAACGGTGCTTTGTCCTTCAAACGACTCACGTCTTGTACGGTGCATCGCGATGCCAATTCCCATAGTACGAGGCCGCAGGCGTACATGTCGATGCGCAGGAACGAGTCCCTGGTGAAGTTGATCGCCCCCTCGAGGACCTCAGGCGCCATGTAGCGACGCGTCCCAACCTGGCCGTGGGTGTCGCCGCAGGGCTTCCCCGGATGGAAAATTAGGGCCAGACCGAAGTCCGCGATGCACGCGCTCATGTCGTTTTTCAGCAGAACGTTCTTCGACTTGAAATCGCGATGCGCTACCGCGGGCTTGTAGCCGTCGGCCTTGTTCGCCGGGATCTCCTCGTGCAGGTGCATCAGACCCCTGGAAATTGCACAGTGCCTTTATTGCCTTATTATCATTCGTACGAAATATGCGAGCGCGGTCTCCTCCACTGTTTCTCCCCGGGTGCGCAAAGCTGCACTCAACGGTTTAAATGTTTAAAAATAAAAAAAAAAAAGTAGAAATGTATCTCAAGGACAATGCGTTGGCCGTTTGATTTTGTATATACTCTTAAGGCACATATTGGTAGGCTTTTGCGAATTCCTAACCGATCGGTGGACAATATGGACAAAATCGAAATTTTTTAATCGAGCAACGTGCTGCTAATGCAAAAGTTACTACGTACCAAAATTATTGAATTCAAGTCCGTAATACTTTAAATCGCACTCGATACTTTCAATGTCGATCCATCCAAGTAGCCATTGGCCACTACGAGTTACTTTTCTCTCTCTCTCTCTCTCTCTCTCTCTCTCTCTCTCTCAGCGAGACGCTATAATGCATCTACGACAGCATCTCCTACGTACACATCGAGAATTTCCCCTCGAGTGTGGCTCGACATTAAAAGTGAAAGCCACCCCGCGAAAGCCAACCGTAGTGGTATTATTGTGCAAAAGCTCGAAATGACATAACGGCTGACGGTACCTGGCCATCGACTCGGCGATCCTACACATCTCCGGCCAAGATACGACATTCGCCTTGAGATAATCGCACAGAGAGCCCTTCTCGTGGTAGGCGGTGATCAGCCAGAATTCGGCCTGGAGATTGTCGCCCCGCTTCTCGACCCCGATAAAGCACAGAATATCCTCGTGATCCATATGGGCGAGTTTGAAGATCTCCTGCTCCGATTGCCAGGATTGCTTGTCCTGAATGGGAAAGACCTTGACCGCGACGACCTCCGCTCTTAATTGGGCCTTCCACACGGCGCCGAATCGGCCACGAGCCTTAATCTCCAGCAGCTGGATCGGTCGATTGCCGAGATTCGGTGAGGGTTGTGGCAGTGGGCCCGGCTCGATCGTCGGTATCTGGAAGAGCGAGTTGTCACGTTGGGATTTGGACTCTTTACACTCTTCACTACTACATTATTTCAATGCTTAATTGTGGCTAACTAATGCTTGAGCGAGCTCCTGGTCTCTCACTGTCTCGGACTATTTTCGTGACTTTTTTTCAGTGTGAAAAATACATTGGCATGCCAGAGGCTAAAAGGATTCGCTTCAATTGTTATGAAAATGACCGAGTGAGCTGTGAGATACCACCAATGGGAGTGCTCTAAACGTCGTACGTAATTGGACAATGAAAATGAACGTTACTAGTTGACTTTATGCATATTGTATTGCTGATTAGTTGCGAGATTAGAGTGAGATGGATAATTTGAATACCTCGTTGAAGTAACCCAATTTCGTGTGACGGTAGTAGTAGACTATTCCCGTAAGTACAACGAAAATTAGTAACATGGGAATAGATATCGATAGGACCAGTGTTACCACTTGTTGGTCCGTATTAGGAACAGCTTCGAATTCTGTAATAAATAAGCTCGATTTAGATGAATTATCTAAATAAAGAGAATTTCCGACAGAAATCCCGACCGATTTGTTATTTACCATGTATAATTCGAGGTGGTTGTGTTGGTTGTGGATCCCATGAGAAATTTTTGTTACACATGTTTCCATCGCAGCAGCAAAAAAAGTGTTGCTTCTTTCTGTCTGCATTCTTCTCCACGCAATGCTGCTTATCGTAACACTCTTTACTATCCAAGAAGCAGCCCTAAAAGTTTGTAAAACAATGTTTAAAAAATTGAATGAGATTTAATCTGCTTAAGATGCGCTTGAGTGATAAAAATGAAAGAATTATGCTGAAAGGAAACGTACGTTTAGGATGCCGACTATCCGTTATGACTCTTTGTTTAAATGCGTAAAACCAAGAGGCAAATACCATTACTTTCGCTTACTTTTAACTTTATGGTCGATTTTTGCGTAACGCTGTCATACTGCCACAGTACGTAACAATGATTGCGTTTGTCAGGATCGTGTGGTCCGCACTGCTCTTTCTCCACGCAATCGTCTCTGAACTCCCCTGCACACATTGTTTCATTGTAAAACTCGCAGTACGTTGATCCCTTGACGTCGTGTGTACTAGCTTGACCTAAAGGCAAACATTGGGTTTCTTATAATACAACAATTGCTTATTACGTAGTCTCTTTAGTTTCATTTTATTCGTAATACTTATTTAACCGATGTCCAACAGTTTATCGATTTACTAATTTAAGTGCAATACTTTAAGATTCGATTAATGATTAATATTAGTCGTGAGCTAATGCCGCTCTATGAAACATTATAAAACTTTATATTGTATTTTAAGTGCAAAATTTGAGTACCACACGAGCAATTTTTTCCAAATACGACAAACTCAATTTTACGTAGTCGCTCGTATCTTTTAATGTAATTTTTTATAAATACACACGTGAACGGTGTACAATTCGGATAAATAAATGAAAAATGAAACAGCCGTGGCACTGAAACAAAGAGAGCTTTTAGCATTGTAAAAACAACACTAACGAATAATCAATATCAATTTAGTTTGCCAATGTTTTTGCAGGAACTAATGTAGCAAGATTATAAATAATCATTTACTTTTAAAGAATTCTATTTTGAAAAACAGGTATGTAAGCTCAAATTATTGTTAGATTAACGTCATTTTATAAAAATGATATTCGATAATATAATTCGAAAATAAAGTCATTCGTGGCAAAAAATTGTAAAAAATGTTATACTTAGCATTGTCAACGTGCACGCTTAAGCTAATAATACAGATGGTATCCTTGATAGAAAATTATTACCATTTCGACAAGCTCTTAAGCGTGAAATACCATAGGACGAATAAGTTAATTATCGATGCAAGAAAGTAGAGATGCTCGATAAAATTTCTTGAATTATAGAAACAAATCATTTGGCTTTAATGTCTGAGCAACAACAACCGGTACTTGCCCCTCGTCAATAAAGTGGTAATCGTTTTGAGCAAGAGGCAAGCGCGCTCTACAAAACCATTGGACAATTTCTTATAATAAATTGATGTGATTTTAAGCCAAAGTCGATGCAAAGCAGAATTTGAACAATGCAAGTCTTGACCCCAACAATTGGCTCTGTGTTCAAAGCTTTTCTTACATCAATTACCCATTATATCCCTAAAGACATCCTAAGCGATGGACACTGGATGGACTTACCCAGGAGACCAAGCAGTACAAAGGGCACGATGGTGACATAGGCGATCATCGTGAGGGGATCAGGGATCCCGGGAAAATCAGGGTAACAGTTTTCGAGCTTCATTCGTAGTGAATCGAATGGTAGTGAGCATCCTCGTAGTAGACTTTTCGATGTCTGTTATCGTCGGTGTTCGTGTCGGCGTCAGTGACGATGTTGACGACCGGGCTGACGGCGGCAGCAATAGCAACAGCACTAGCAACAATAGTAGCAGTGCCGGGGACGGCGACGACGATGAACTTGGTCAGCATTACTTTGCGCTGTTGTTCCGCCGCCTGTTTTGATTTCGAGGTGGGCTCGCTCGTTCACTCGTTCTCCTTCTCCTCCAGCCCCTCTGCCTTCACCACCCCCTCGACCTTACTTCGGCGAGCTCTAAATTTTTTATGCCTCTCTCTGGGCCACGGGGACACACGACGCAGAGCGACCAGCGAAGACGAGCCAACCGATATATAAAACAGATAGAACAAAAACACGCAATAGGCGCGCGCGCGCGCGCCCCGAGTAGAACGAGGACGGACAGCGCTGCCGCGTATAATCGTACGCAGAAGCGCGTACTCAGACTCTCTCTCTCTCTCTCTCTCTCTCTCTCTCTCTCTCTATCTCTCTATCTCTCTCACTCTCGCTCACTCACTCTGTGTCGCGCGAGCACGCACGCACGCACGCACGCACGCACGCACGCACGCACACTTGGCCACGAATTAAATATAGAGAAGAAGGAAGAGGAGGAGGGTGAAAGACGAGATCGACGAGGGCAGCTTCGGACTGGCTGACGGTGATGCTCTCGCCCGAGGATGAGGCGCCTTCAGAGGCGGACGGGCGCTTGCTCAGGAACGGGCCGAGAGCTACACCGAGGATGATGCTCGGATGAAAATCCGCGACCACACGTACACGCGCGCGCAACGGACTAGAGCATCGCGCATAGACAAAGACCCGCAGAGATGCCTGAGAGCCTAGTGGTGCGTGGGATTACCACGCCATCCGCCAGGTGGCGCCGCGCCGGTCCACATTTGATTTCGATCTCCTTTGCTCCCACGAGAGAGGAGGCTGATTTTTTAGTTTTCGACAAATGCCTTAAGCTGATCCTTGGCTTGTTCCATCTATCTATCTATCTATCTATCTATCTATCTATCTATCTATCTATCTATCTATCTATCTATCTATCTATCTATCTATCTATCTATCTATCTATCTATCTATCTATCTATCTATCTATCTATCTATCTATCTATCTATCTATCTATCTATCTATCTATCTATCTATCTATCTATCTATCTATCTATCTATCTATCTATCTCTCTTGCTTTATCTTACCGTTGTTTTTCTTCGTTTGACGATTACAGTCCGCGGTCGCGTTGATACTCATCGATTATTGTATTATCGAGCACTTTACCTCAACGCAGCCCCTATCATTTTCCGACTGCATTAATATGGTTTTACGTAGTGCATTCCCCCTATATGTCCATCATTTTCCTTCGGTGTAAATAAAACAAGTTCGTTCCTTTTTACTTCTTCTTCTTCAACTTCTTCTGCTTCTACGTTTGCTTCTGCTTCTGCTTCTGCTTCTTCTGCTTCTTTGCGACAATTAAAATTAGGTCCAAAAAGGAAAACTGCGCGTGTAGCCGATTATCAAAAGTCAAATTTTTTTAAAACTTCTTGAACGCCTGTATGCATCATTGAGTTGTTGAAGTCATAACGATAGTTCATTCATCGTCGTCGATGCTTCCAATCAAACGTATGAACAAACGTTTGCCCGTTTCTTTTTATTCTTACCTTACAAGTATTACACGGGCGTCATTTTAATCACGATTATTTTTTAATCGTATACGTAATCGTATATGTTAATTACATGCTTATCGACTGCTCATACAAATAACGGGATACATGAATCCAATGCATTGTTGACAGGATATTTTAATCTTCACGCACGAATTGTTATGGATATTGCACATTGTCAACGGATATAATTTTCACGATATTATAAATAAAGGAATAGGAAATCCAAAGTTTGTTGTAGCACTTAGGGCATAAAATTGTAAGGAATATTCGAGTATATGCGAGAAAATTTCATTGAAATGCTTTCTTTTATTTCATAATGGTCGAATAATTGAACTATCCGTATATAATTATACGCGATAGTTGATAAAAGTCGCACGAGAGTAAGGGTTACTTACATTTTACAGAAATTCAAGTAATTCGTTTTTAATATTTTACGCAAAGTGTATTGGAAAAATATATATTTCAACGTTTATTTAAAAATAGTAAATATAAACAATATATAAAATAAAGTAAGATAAAATAAAATAAAAGACAAAAGAAGAAGATATTATTATATGCTCGTAAAACAATGTTAAATATTTTATTTTCAGTTGCAAATCGATATTAGTATGTACAATAATATTTTTTAAATAGCATATGCAGCTTTAAAAATGATTTTATAATTAAGGAACGTGATTTGTCGTTACGTTTAAACAAATTCAATTTATTTAGCCAATTTTTACTTTATATTTTCAACGTGATTTTATACAATCAATATTTTCATCATAAAAATATTTTTAATTATTCGTTTAATTAGTTGAGTACGCCGATGCAAATAACCATTATAACTGAACCCGTATATTTTGAGATTTGGTAATCAATAAAATCGCTGTGCAAACATTGCAAAGGCTAATGATTCTAATTCAACTGACTGACTAAAAAATTGAAAAATGAAAATGTTCTTTGTGAACGATCTTTAGAATTTATATTAAGACGTTGTTGGTGCCTTCAATTCACATATTCAATTATTCACGAGTGTATAAAATTTATTGATCTGTGCTATACTAACAATATTGCAATAATACGTGTAATTAAAATAAGCTACCATGAAAATGTATTTAATTAAAGATACGAGCATTTTCAGTAAGTTACTAAGAAATTAAAAGAAAAAACAAAACGAAGAAAAAAGAGAAAGAAAAAAGGAAGAGGGAGAGGGAGGGGGGGGGGGAAGAAAGACATATTCACTTGCAAATCTTCAAAACAAAACAATTATGATTTAATTTTCGTGCATTCCAATATTCCGCGTGAATTTTCAAGATACATTAGTCTATTTAAACCACTACATCTAAAAATATTGTTTTCATTTGAACTTAATAGAAAGGTGAGCAAGTATATGCGTTAGCACAAAAATTCGCACAAATTCACTCCTAAAGGCATTTCCAATATAATTCTCAATAATTGAATGATATTATTTAAAGGGAGTAAGCGCTGTATGAAGTATTGAGCTCTTTGGTCCAGTACCACCGACAGAAGAAGAGGATAACTGCTGCTTATACTCGTTCAGCTGGTAACTAGTCCCCGGGATATTTTAGTTACTCGTTTCGCTTCGTCTTTCTATATCTACACTACACGCGTGTATCATTGCTGCTAACGGTGTATCATGTATGTATAATCGTACATCAATGTAATCGTCCGACGAGAGTGGAGATGGAGCGGAGGCGACACGGGGGTGGTGAGAATCACGCAAATAGAGAGGGAAGAGCGAGTGGGACGAGTGGGCGGAAGAGGGAGAGAGTAATTGCGTGCTGATGTTCACGTCTCGCGGCTGCATATCGCGTTACACATATCCGTTGAAACAAGTATGAAAATAATTCAAATCAAGAGATAATCGGATTGGAGAAATAGAGAACCACCATCGGCTGATATCACAAAGTTGTTAACGGACACACGCTATGCCGCTACGTCGAGTACCATTGACCAACATGTTTTTCTTTGATCTTCTAATAAATTTATGTTCTGCTTCGATAAATCGCTCCCATCATTCCCGGCTTCTTGTATACACATCACCGACGCTACCTAATTTTGCTAATGTCTTTTATTTTATTTTATTTTATTTTCTTTTTTTTGTTTTTTACATTTATCACGACTGTGTTGGCACGTGTACACGTCTATTTAAATACTTGGATATTGTTTTTTTGCTTTTTGTACGTATTCGTCCCCGTCAGTCATCTGGAATTTATGTATCTTTCTTTTTTTTTTTTTTTTTTTTTTTTTTTTTTTTTTTTTACTCGGTTTTATTATTATTTGAACATACCACATATACATATATCATATATATACCAACGTATGGGAAATATAAATAAGTTCAATATAGCTTCCTAATTTTATTTGCTTTGTTCGTGAACGGGGGCGTTGATTGAACAAAGAATTTTGTCGGTCTACTAATAACTGTATAAATTTTGGTATAAAAAATATTATAAATAATGAGCAATATTACGATGTGCAAAATGAAGGAGACTGGTAAAATGAAATAGACATAAATAGAGTGGAGAGTATGATAGGTCGATGCGAAAAAAGAAAAAATAAAATAGAGACATATGGATATGATAAAACGATTATAATATATTACATTCTATTAATTTATTATTAATATATTACTAATAGTATTTATATTTTTTAATTATATATTTTCTATTTAATAAATGCTGCAATTACGAAAGATCATACTAATAGGCAACATGAGTACGAACTTAACACATTGTTTACAAGTTTTTGGAAGCTAAAATTTATACAACATTAGAAAAAATTGATTACTTATTAATGAATGAGAAAGAAAGAAGAGGCAAATTAATATATAGAATTTAATAAGCATTAATATTTAGTCACAAAAAGGTTAAAGTTTTACAGAAAAAGCTTTTGAGTTCAATATATATATATATATATATATATATATATATACATAGAGAGAGAGAGAGAGAATTTATAGTTGATCATCTGTAAATGCAAATTAATTTTAAACATTACATAGTACGATAAAAAAAGAAAGAAAGAAAAAGATTTGTAAATTTGTAATAATAATAATAAAGATAATAAGTATTTATAAGCCAATTTTCGTGAATCAGAAAACTATAAAATGCCAGTTAGATAAATGTTAATATGAAGTAAATTTATATAAAGTTTGGTAAATGTTGTTAATGTCACATTAAAATTATCTATACACATTTCATAATTCCAATTTAGTAAAGTCGGATTTTAATGAAAAAATTTTAATGGAAGCCTTTGAAAATGAGCATTTTAATAAATATTTTTTCTCATACTGCTAGCGATGTTAGTTAATGAGTGTGGCACATGAATGCACAAACAAAGGGATAATTGATGATGAAAATTTGGTGAAAATGAAAATATAATCAAGACCAAGCCATGGGTGCCGGGACTCCGTCAATACCTTTTGCAGTTACGTGAAAGTTGGAAATTTAAAATTTATCAAAAACATGTTTCGAAAATATTGTTGGTGTAATAGACAAAATTACTGCTACACGTAAGTATTCAAATAACAAGCATTTGGTGAAATTTTAAAATAGTCTGCTTTATTATATACGTATTATAAACGAACCGAAACTATTATTAAAAATAGCTGTTACAAATTCACGTGTATCACTGGACACATTTAAGAATATAATAATTATAATTATATATTCTAAACTTCAGCATACGGGTTTTGCTTAGTTGTTATTTTTCAAATTAATAACAAATACTACGTTTTCCCTTCATTCTTTAACGTCATTTGCCCATCACGAGAATTTAAGCTTCTGTACATAAAGACAAAAAAAAAAAAAAAAAATGCATAATTCCATAAATCTTTTCGTATTTGTCGCATATTTCATACGCTTTTTTTTCCATTTATGTTCCTATAAATATGTGCAAATTTAACCTTATGAGTTTAATAATAATATTGGCTATTTTAATACATTTGATTGGTATTCAAACCTATCAAATAATTAAATTAACACGTATCCTTAAAAGTAATAAAGAAAAAAAAAAATGTAATTATTACCCCGCATCAACTGAATTTATGAATATTTAAGAAAAATATATTTTAAAGGCTAATTAATTACTTAAGGCATGTATTTATCGACGAATTTTATCGAATCACTAATGAACGTTTAGCTTGGGAATATATCTTATTTAAGGAAAGTCTATTTCGTATATTAGTTGCTAGATTCTTTAAATAGAAGCTTAAATAGTCTTAGAGAAATTGTTGGAATTCCGCGGGAGCTTTGTAAGCTTTGAGCTCACAAAGAATACCCGATGTTTCGCAAATAATTCACGAAATTACAAGCTGCGATTTTTAATAGTTGAAATTGAATTTTGTTACCTAAACGACATTTTCTAATTAATTATTAATGAAATAGATAACAGGTATATCGAATTGCTTTGATATTTAATTTATTGACAAAATCGTTGCAAAATAGTAAATTTCAAATTACAGATAACAGCTGCGCCGTCAATGCAAAATACAGATATTTTTCTATTATTAATATTTAATTTAGGTCAATGATATTTTTTTACTCTATCTTTTATATCGGACTACAACGATCTTATTATTAAGGCAACAATTTATTATTTGACTATTGTGAATATATAATTTGTAATTAAAGTAACTTGTCAAAGTTTCACTATAAATAAAGTAAAGACAATTAAATTAGATCATTGATGTTAAATTAAAATGAAATTTTGTATTAATAATGGACTTATTGGTTTATCGTGTTAATCCAAAGAACCTCATGGTGAATCTATTTCCGAAATAGTATAGAATTTAGAACAAAGTCCATTGCAATTATGTGGACAATAATGTGATTAGAGATGTAAGCCATAAGATTGCTACTGAGATGCATGAAAAACGTTTTAATATATTCTCGACTCGCGTTCTAGGCGATTATTGGCGTAATATTAGAAATATTTGCAGTAGTGCATCGATAATGTGAATAATTTCTGCGTGAAAAAAATTTGGTTGCGTGTTTCAATCTATTAGTTCTAATTTTTATTGTATTGTTTTTATATATTGATGAATTTATACAAGATCATATATATATATATATATATATATACATATGCACTTATTGATTGATATTGCGAATTAATATTTAATATTTTTAAATAAATATAAAGCAAATTTAAAATGGTCGTAGAATCACTGTATATAAGGTTCTTAGAATTATGGTTAAGTGCATGCGCGTGCGAGAGAGAGAGAGAGAGAGAGAGAGAGAGCGAGCGTATGGGAATGTATCATTAAATGTGAATTTAACCCTGCGACTTCTATACACGAATTATGCACACATGCGAATATTACAAGTTCAATAGTTTTTGAATTACAAATAAATTTCCTACGTTTTTATTACTACAAGCATAAAACAAGCGTTACAAAGTGGCTACTAGAAAATATTGTTATTTAACAGAACGAGGGAGAAAGATAAAAGATAGAGATGCATCAATTGCTTGACATTGATAGGCGGTAATAGCGCGTAACGGTGTGCGTATGTAAACAGGTGTGCGAGAATGAGAGAGATAGAGCGTAGGATTATAAAGCGACTAAGAGTGTGTAGGAGATGTTTTACGTGGAAGGGAGGAAGCGAGTAAAATAATAACAAAGCATAAACACAAACAAACGCTGTTTGTTGAATGAATTTCATAGTCGTATAACATCTAATTTCTTTTTATCAATTTCATTTGTGCAATGAACTCTGAAGTATATTTACGAATTATTTATGAGAAATGTTGTGATACTACGCAGTTAAAGCTTAGATGGGAAGGAAGTGGGAGAAATAGCCGCTAGAGTACTAAAGCGATCGTCCGTAACCTAGACCGAAGTCAGATATTTTTGTTAAAAATTTCAATGTCACCGGTAATATTACTTTTGCAGTAAGATCGTCGAATGCAAGAACGTATCGGCGTTTCCGACCATACGCCAAAAATTTCTCACCTATCGCTTATTATTGCAGTTTAAACGGTGACTAAGGTCGGCGAATCGCACGAGTGCGAACAAATTAAGCGCCGAATCTAAATGATGGAAAAACACGTGCACGTGCTTGCCATTAATAAATAATAAATTTTTTTTTTTTTTCTAATGGAGTCGGAATTTGATATAAATCAGGGTGGCCTGAGAGCCGACGGAAGGCGGCCACTCGAATTGCGAAGAATTAGAATGCGTTTAGGAGTTTTTACTCAAGCTGATGGGAGTGCTTATGTAGAACAAGGAAAAACTAAAATATTGGCTACTGTTTATGGGCCACATCAGGTTTGTATTGAATTTTTTAAATTAATTTAAAGTATTCATCTTTATTGAATGTAAAAGCATTGGATATTGGAAAAACTTTTACTAACGATTATTGTATTATAAATATAAGATATTTCATTATATATTCATAGAACAATATTGCCAAAGTTTGCTGTAATAACGTATTGATATTAATTTCTAGCCACGAGGTAAGGCTATTAGTAGTAGTACCAAGGATGTTAAAGGCATTGTGAATTGTCAGTATAGTTCCGCGGTATTTAGTTTTGGGGCTGCAGAAAGAAAAAAAAAGCCTCGCGGTGATAGAAAATCACAGGAAGCGTCGCAACAATTGCGACACGCCATGGAAGCAATTATTAATTTAGAGCTTTTTGCCAGATCTCAAATAGATATATTTGTAGAAATTCTTCAGATGGATGGTAGCGAATTTTGTGTTGCCGTTAATGCTGCAACTCTTGCCTTAATTGATGCTGGAATATCGATTAAGGTATTTTTAATATCTTAATTTCTCAATAAATTTTTATAAATTCAACGTATACAATTAGATAAAATTTAATTTCAATTATTATTATGTTTATTGCATAAGCCGTGTATGATAATTAATAAGTGTTAAAATTAATTTTTCAAGGATTACGCTATTGGCTGCTCAATCACTGTGTCGGATAGCCTTCTGGGAGAAGATGATGACGGACAATGTACAGAAATTTTGGATGCTAATTGGGTGGAAGAATGCTGCCCTAGCGTTACTTTATCGATCGTCGCCCTTCCCAAGGTCGTCGATGAGACAGAAACAAAAAGCTCTGTAATTTTGACTCACGGGTCGGGTCAAAGATTACATCTTTCAAAGCTCGAACCTTTGAGAATAAAAGCTCTCCAAGGTTGCAAAGACATTCGAACTATTATCGACGAAGCTGTTAAAAATCATTTGGAAATATTTTCCATCGCTACTGCACTAGATAAATAATAATTTAACGATAATTTAGTGAAAGATTTTTTAATACATATTTATATAACTGATATTTCATACTTTTATTACTATAGAATACAAATTTAAAAGTTTTTAATACAATTTGATTTTATAAAAAATATATATTCACATATAAATATAAGATGCGAAATAGCTTTTCGCGGTTTAAAGTGGAAGTCCAAGTTGCAGATACAATTACTTAAATCATATACATTAACAATTTATTAATATTGCTTGTATATTCAATAATTTTTTAACTTAAACCGTTGCACCTGGATATCTTTCCATTATCATCCCAACACCCTGGCAAATATTTATTAGAAATTATTAATTTTTGAACAAGATATGATAAACATTAATTAATACTTTTACTTTACCTGACCGCCAGCAGCACAAGCTGCAATAAGACCAAATTGTTGATCTTCTTTAATCATTCTATTCGCTGTGTGAGTAGCTAATCTAATACCAGTTGCTGCGAATGGATGTCCGATAGATAGAGAACCACCCCAAGCGTTCCACTTTTTTAGATCGGGAACACCAACCTTACTGGAACGTTTCAAATATTTCTGAGCAAAGAATTCAGAATCAAGTGCTTTGAGATTAGCCAAAATTTGAGCGGCAAATGCTTCGTGCACCTCCCAAACTCCAATATCTTTTAAAGTGAGGCCAGCTTTTTCTAAGACCTAAACCATAGTTAAAAAGGATAAAATAATAAATATTATATTTATATACATATATATCTATCTTTTTTTTAAAGGAGACTAGGTTGTATGAAAAAGAGTAAAAGTATTTATCTATAAGGACATAAGCGCTTATATTTATATATAAATATATAATATTATAGGTAATAAGTAATAAAACTGATGATGCGTAACAATCTTATAGCATAAAATAAATAATGTAACTGAACTCGAGATACACACTTACTTTAGGAATGGCATAGGCAGGTCCTAATAAAAGTTGATCTTTAGGATCCTGGGAAACGTAAGTGAATTCTCTCATGTATGCTTTGGGTTTTAATCCAAGTCGTTTAGCTTTCTCTTCTGTCATAATTAAGCCAGCAGAGGCACCATCTGTAAGAAATGAAGAATTGGCAGCCGTAACCGTTCCATAAGGTTTCACAAAAGCTGGTTTCAATTTTGCTAACTGTTCCTTTGTCGATACTCTAATACCATTGTCTTGCTTAATAGCCTTCTTAGTACCAGGAACTGAAATACAAAAAAATAGATTTAAATAGATAAGCGCAACAAAATATAAATATATGTTAATATAAAAAAAAAAAACCGAGTATTAAATTACATTAATAGTTTATGAATCTTAATGCTATAAAATGAATTATTTTAATTATTTTTCTTTCTTAATACTTTTGATAATCATAAAAAATTTATTGAAAAATTTTATTTCTAAACCAATTCTAATTTAAACATATTTAATTACATATTTATAAAAATTTGTGAAAAGTTTACTTTAAAAATGAATTATTTAAAGTAGTGGGTGATGCTTATATTTACCTACGATTGGCACCAAATCAGTCAAATTTCCATCGCTATATGCCTGAGCTGCGAATAAATGTGAACGCATGGCATAATCATCTTGCTCTTCTCGAGAAACGTTAAATGCAGCGGCGAGTCTGTCACCGCTATGACCCATAGTTTCATTTGTTGAAAATTCAGCTACCGATGGTAACTATAATATTTTAATTATCGTTAAATTCTTATTTACCATACAAAGTTGCCAGCAATTTTACAATATAATGTACTTCATTAATTTTTAGAGAATCGTTATTTGTATTTATAATTGGGGAGAAAACATCTGCGTGTTACTTACATCTGGAACAAAATGGCTGGGCCTTATTGTTGACAGTAACGATAGCTTTTGAGCTGGCGTTTTTGCTTTACTTGCTTTTAACATCAAAGCTCTCATTGCACGACTGTGTCTGATTGGAATGTCAGTCATAAATTCAACACCACCAGCAATAATAGTATCATATATTCCAGAATGTATTAAGCCTATTCCAGTTGTTAAAGCAACATTGCTACTAATGCAGGCCATGGTAACTGTATGAGCTGGAGTATGTTCGCTAAAACCAGCGGCTAAAGCGGCTTCTCTGGCAATGTTTGAAGTTCTTATTTCTTGCATAACAGTACCATAAACAACGTAATCTATTTCTTCTTTAGGAATGCCAGTTTTTCGTTGCAAATTACTGTAAAGATAAGAAACGTATAAAGCACATTACATTAGAAGACGATTTTTTGTAATTGAAGAATCTAGTCATTGATCAGAAATAAAGGTATCTAACGCAGTGAAAATTTATAAATTATTGCAGTAAAATTCTAAAATTTAGCAATTGATTAAATATTGAAATTATTCGATTTATCATATACACGGTATAGTCAATGCATTTGCTTATTAATAGTTAAGAAAAGTTAACTGATAATAAAAACTTCCTTTTAGTAGTTTTATACTTACACAAGAGTCTCTCTAGCTAGATCATGTGCAATAAGTCTGCCGTAATCTGTATTTGATAACAAAAATGGAGTTCTAACTCCATCGATATATACAATGTTCTTCTTTCCAGGTGTTGATTTTGAAACGGTTGCATAATTTTTTCGATTAAATCGGGCAGGCTCCCACATATAACTGGCTGTCAATTAATTCGACGTTAATTATAAAACTTTACAATAACATGACAATTATAATATTGTGCATGTATATAGATATGCACATTTAAAGCTGTTTAAAAGTAGTTACAAAATAAACGTGAAAAAATAGAATTGAAAGAGTTGATGAAAACTTAAAAAAAATTTGACCTATTTCACAAGATTTGATCTAAGACATATAGTCAACAACAGTTAGAAACTAAATTTTTTACATGCACTTACGATAATTTATCATTACGATAAATTGCACTTTGAACTTAATTTTTTTTTGTTTTGTTTTGATTTTGTTTTGATTTTGTTTCGTACATTTAGAAAACATAATTTAAAATGATAAAAAATCAGCATAATTAAAATACCTTGGGGCACTATAAAATTATTAAGACGAGGAAGATTCTTCGCAACAAGAGCCGACATTATCTTTCGTTTTTTTATTAATCGAATGTCTGGAGGTTATAAATATGTGCTGTGTTGTCCTTGGTAAGTTTCAGATCAGTTTCAACTGAAAATCAATAAGTTAATAAGATAGTTTATTAAAATTGAACATATCGACGAAACCAATGCACTTAACGTATCCTTATAATAAATAATCTCCTACCTTCAATATTAATGCAACGGCGTTCGAATGATTCGAGGAAAAGACGGCGCTTATATATCTTATACAACCTTCTTCGTTTCCTCAAAAGCACTAAACTCCGTTTCAACACAAACGTCTATCGAACGTATATTATAAGCATATTATATACTGTATATTCCATTCGTTTGGTCCACTATACCGACTGCTTCGTTATTTATCTGTCGCGCTTACGATTGCGCCCACCTACTTGGATTTTATACAATCGTATCTACCAGAGATGTCGTTCCTGGTTACACCCGACGTAGTTTTTCTAAACTACAGTGGCAAAAGGAAACGAGGATGAGTAGTAGGTGAATGGAATGTATGCGAGAGTGTGCGTGATTGCAGCTCAAATTCAATGGATTTGAAGGTATTTAAACGGTAGTTTAAATTGGGTAGGGTATTTTTATGGGATCGATGTTTCTCATTCCAATCATACGAATAATAATATAATTTAACCAACGAGTCGGTTTCATTAATTTTTGTCAGTCGACTCTGAGCCGAATGCTACATTTCATCATGAAGCGCGTAACAAGGACATCGTTTTTTTTTTTTTTTTTTTTTTTTTTTTTTTTTTGACGTCCAAAATAATATCAATTATTATGGATTTTAAAGCCAGCCGAAGGAGCTTTCAAAATTTCAAACTTTTAAAATGTTTCTAATTTAAACTATTTCAATAGTAAAGTAAATTGCATAATAAGAGCGGAAAATTCAGAAACTTTAAGCGTATCTTTCATTCCAAGCATAATTATATTAAAGGGAATGCAAAATTCAAAATTTATTACTCATAAGCATAAAATCAAAGGCCCATTCAACTTCTTTCATTCGCTTCCTTAATTTGCTACACGCGTTTTATTTGCATAATTTAACGGCAAATGAGAATTATCGTAATATTAATCAAATTATTACTAATCAATATTAAATAGACTATTTTACGATAAATAATGGACAAATGTAAATTGGCTTAATATCGAGGATCTATAACAATTTAACATTTAAAAAACACTATTAAAATTTAATAAGCTATTTACGAGAGAGAAAAAAATTTGATAGAAAAATGAAATACTGTATTATTGTATTACATACATCTACAGACTTTATAAAAATAACGATGTTGATTCTTTCGAATAAAAATTAGACTAATTATAGTATTTTTTTTTTTTTTTTTTAATATATCTTATTTTCTACACGAATTGCTACATTACCAGTTTAAGTTATTTATACATGGATAAGGCTGGCTGTGTTTGTTTGGAAGGCATATTTGAATTAAATAAATAACTATGGCTTTAGTTCGCATGCGTATACTGTAAAATTGCGAATTTATTGTTTAAGTATCTTTATCTATGGTAAACGGATATAGAAATTTCAAAGTTTCTATGAAGTTTCTTTGTGTCCAAAGTTCTCACTGTCATCGCTCGAATAACTCGATCTTGACTGAACCCGAACTGATAAAATCCTGTCCAACTTCCAATTTGATGATGGAAGATTGTTTTCTTTTATAAAAGATTCCGATATTATGAAACAATGTCAATATATTTGTTGTACAATTTGCTAAAAGTTATGGCGATTCATCGATTCATTTACATATAATGTTGATATTGGGAAATATTATTTTCTTTTTTTTTCCAAAAAGTTTGTAAGCGATTTTAATAATAATTCCTGACATTCGGTTCAGGGAAGGAAAAATCTTTTGACAGACGTATTTACGGGAATGTAAACAAAAAGCATAATATACATGCACAACATTTCTCCTCTCTCAATAATACGGTAAATTACTAGTTTCTTACAGTTCGTTACAATCGATCTTTCATTATTTTACTGGAATTCGTATTATTAATAAATGAATTAATAACAACATTGTAAATTATTCGCAAAAATTAAATATTTATCGAAACATAAGCAGTTTTCGTATATATATATATATATATATATATATATATATATATATATATATATATATATATATATATCTGTGTGCGTGTACGTGCGCGTGTGTGCGCATGCTTTATGCATTTTCGTGGGACAAGTTAATTCGAAAAAGAGAAATTTTCTAAATCTCTGAATGGACAATTTCTATTGTGATTATTATCATAACGCCACGTAAATTTAGTGTATAAAAGCCATTTAAAGTGTGTAAAATGGCGAGTAAAATAAGCCTAATAAATTTACCTGAACATTGAGTAAAGAAGATTAACAAAATAAGAGATTGTCTCTGCTCGAGGATCCTAATATAGACACGAAGCTTCGTCAGCTTTTGACGTGTCGAGAGATGGTGCGAGAGATCTCTCGTGCAAGTGGTTATTGATAAAACCAAGGCCATTAGGAAAGCCCGTTTCCAATGCCCGGCCCTAAGACAAGCACGCCGAGGCTCTTTGGGTCGACTCCTCGCCATCGGTCCAAACCTCTCGAGTATCTCATTATTTTACCCGTCCGCTAATCCGTAATGCGAAGCTGAGCTATTTGTCAAAACTGTCTTTTTCAGACGGGAGGGGGTGGGGTGGCACGAATGGCCGACCGTTGACCCACTGGAACATTACGTGACGACGAGCCAGTCTATCGGCAGATCAAATTGCGAGAAAACCAAAGGGATATCGAGGACTTTGGCAATGATAAAAATTGGCTAGATCGCAGTAAAGGCCGATTCGTCAAATAAATTGAGGAACGAACGAGATTATCGGCGGCACAGCGACCGGTCGTCGATGCTCGCATATCCTACATCATTGATCGAGATAATAATCTATTTGACCACCGATTCAATCTCCATGTAACAAAAATACACGCTTCCATTCAACCTCGAATCAATTGTTAGGAGGTAGGAACTGATAACGTCTCCGTTAAAGTTTCGTAAATTTTCGTAATTACCATCGCTACGTATTGGTGATCCGTAATGCATAATTAAAGCGTTGAATGTAACTAACTGCTTATTAAGCGTATTGGGTAATATTTTCTGGCAGTGATCAATTGTCAATGTTACAAGCTTTGATAGTGCCAGATTTTTGTTATAATTTTGATAAATCGTCTAACGTAAGATTGCAGTCTAAATTTATCTCTCAAACACGATAAGTTTTTTTTTTTTTTTTTTTTTTTTTTTTCATAACAAAGTTAATTTCGCGATACTTTAATTTCCTTATCATTTCCAGCATATTTTCTTTTATTATACTTTATTTATTATAGACAAAATAAAGTCTGCTATTTTTAGATAGCATTCGACGTTGCCGTGTGTCATCAAATTTAAACGCGATTGATATTAGGAAAGTAAATAATGAATATTAAATTATACATGCATGTATAGATTAAATTTTGAAAGATGTGAAAATGTACGTATTAATAATCGGGATATTTTCATGAAATGTTATTTATATTTAATGAGAATTATTTATAATATTATAAAGATTTAGATATAGTAGTAATTTTTTTTTTTTTTTTTAAATTATCGAATAATCTTCTTTATCTATTGAACGCACACAAAATCTCTGTAATTTATTCGAAATTTTGCTTTATGAATAATCATTGTTCTATTATTATATTTTATCAATGTGTATTATGAAAATATATTGATAACGTAAACACTGTTGTCAATAATGTTAATACTTATATTTACTTATGTATCTATGTATATATACTTTTTACTTTTTAATTCTTTGCATCGGATATATTGAATTTAATCAATTAATAGTTCTTTATTAAAAAGTAATAAATACATTTATTAAATTATATTGCATTTATCAAAAAATATTGGAATACAAAATTTGACATTTGATTTACACGCACGCACGCACGCACGCACGCACGCACACATGTACAAACATATTTCATATGTTAGAGGTGAAGAACAATTAATGAATAATAATGCTTAAACATTAATGCAGCATGAATGGAAATAAATCAAGTAAACAATATATAACAATACACATATAAGACATAATATGTGTAATATCGTTATATTAATTTGTTTTATTGTATTGATTTGGAATTTATTCATATTTTCATTGAGAATATTTATTAAAAAACAAGTTTTACTTTGTGTTGTAATGTTAACGAATCCTGATTTACATCGACGTTCATTTGTAAAGTGTTCGAGCATTTTGAACGACAGTGAGTCTGATTTCTGAAAGTTCTCCACTTCGGATTCGAGATCCAAGCTTCCATATAGAAATTTTCCAAGCACAGCTACGTGACTACGGACATCTTTTTCTTCAAAACTACCTCCCCTTCATTCATGAACTTCTCCTTTGCTATTACGTGCAAATGAAACAGTTTCTAGTTTCAGTTGCAAATGAAAAAGTTCACTAAGCTCATCCCGACCGGAATTGGTCAGCCATTACTGAATATTGGATCAGCAGTTCCAAATTACAATTCCGTCTCTATGCATACATTGAAATTTTGTAAAGATAAAGTTAGTTTCTCTTACATTCATATAAAAAATCGAATTTATGCTCATATATATAATACAACGTATATGACTTCATCATTGTAGAGGAATATGCAAATTATGTTTCAATAAAAAGTTTTTTTTACTAATATTTACAATGCTGAACATCTTCATTGATTAATAAACCTTTTTTTTCTTCTACATGCTATATCTGAAATAATGAAAGCTTGTATGAATTATTTATAAAAGAAATAAGAGTTTTGACATGATAAGAACAATGCGATAAATGTATTAGTCGCCATGATTTTAAATGTCAACTATTAAGCTCATATTCAACAAATGTTTTTCGTATTCGCTCAATCAATTATTTACAAATTAACGAATATTTTGCAATATACTTATTATTGCATCGAAATTATTTTATGTTTTTCTTCTTCTTTATAGATTAAAGAGAAAATCATTGAATTATGCTTTTGGTGTATAACTCTTTAATTGCTGCCTTAGTGTTGATTACGATTTGTTGAATATTCCATAACAAATAACAATTAATTAATTGAGCGCTTATTAAATCAAATAGATGAATTTAGTAAAATACTTTTGTCTATAGTGGTGTATAGAATGTATTCTGTAAAATATTTATCTAATAATCAGGAGAGACGTTTACGCGCTATTTCTTAATGGTCACATGTAATTATCCAAGTGTTAACAAATTCTTAAATTTACTGACATAATTACAGTTTACATGTAAAGGAAATTTAAAAGCT